CACCATCTCAAACACTCGTCGTCTTTGTTTTTGATGTTTATCATCGCCTGTTTAATTTTAAGATGTTCGGGTAGGTTTATGTAAGAACTACCTCTCGCTGGATTATATCTGTTGATGTTGATGTATAACGCCATTATCTTTTTTAAAACCCAACCCGATCCTTGATTCGTATACCTTTCATCCTTTTTGAATAGCTCTTCGATCTCTTCTCTTAAAGCCTGTTTTATTTGACTTTGATTTAAAACGGCTTTTGGCTTGCTATAATGAATAGCTTCGATCGTTTCGATCGTACCATCCGGTTTGGTTTTTTCGTATTTTATTTTGATTGTGAGCTCCATTTTTAAACCTCTCAGCTCTCTCAATTCAGACTTGATTTTATTGACTATCTGTTCCTTGTGCGAATCAAAAAACTTGATCAAATCGTGGTTATAAAGTCTGGGGTTTAATTCCCAGTTTCTGTAGTAATTTCTAAACCTTCTCGTTTCTCTAAAAGCTGACTCTGTAAAGTATTCGGGTTGTCTGTATGTTTTAATCGCCGAGATTAAATCTTTTTTCAAAACTCGTCCTTTATAACCCGTCGGTACGTATTCTAGATTGTGTTCGTCTACAATCTGTTTGAGCTCATAAAGTTTCTTTTTCCTCAAGTTTTTAAATTTACTTTCATAATGTTTTATCCCCTCGATGTAAACTTTACGAGTAAGAGAAACATTTTCATTGTGCGGTATATTATACCGCTGTACGTAATCACGCAGCGTGGCTTTGTTCCATTTAGAATATCCTTTGACGGTCGGTCTAAACATATTACTCTCCATTTTATTATAGAAAATATAATATTTTGTTTTCTCATTTTTTTTTGGAAGACAGACTTTAGATTTATAAGCAATCAGACTCACCTCATTTTTCAAGGTCACGTTGTTTACGCCAAAATTTTATCGTGCCTCAACACGTTTCAAGGTCACGTGGTGGTGACATCACCTCATTTTAGCGACGACAGATTTTTTTTATTTTTTTTTTCTCTCTCTCTCTCTCCCGGCGTCAGGATTTTTTTTTTTTTTTTTTCTCTCTCCCGGCGTCAGATATTTTTTTTTTTTTCTCTCTCTCTCTCTCCCGGCGTCAGATTTTTTTTTTTTTTTTGAGATCGGGGGATACCCCTATTTTTCCAAAACCGAGAGCGGCGTGCCCAGGCTCGCCGCAGATTTTTTCGATTTTGGTCCCGTACCCCCGCCCCCCTTACTACTCGAGAAAAAAAAGAATAATGCTGAGGTAGAACAACAAGAAGAAGGAAAGTGAGAAAGAAGTAAAGGATGAGGGAAAGGGAGACGAGGAAGAAAAGTAGAGGAAGATGAAGCAAAAGCATCATCAGGTCTGAAGGGAATGGGAACTTGAAAAACATCTTTTAAATCGATTTATAATTAAGTTATCAATTAAATGTGCAACTCATGTAAAGTAGCGGCGTCGCGGGGTCGGAAGGGGCTGCATGCCCCCCCCCCCCCATTATTGTCTACTTCCTCCCCCATTGCCCCACTGGAAATTTTGCCAAACGTTTGAACGTGTGTTATTACAACGAAACACGTGTTAGCCCATATAATTGACCATTTTTAACATGTTTCACAAATTGGGCACCTCTTTCCTCGACATTTGTACATTTTGGCATAACAGTATTTTGCCGGCACATGTTCAATCAGTCAGATTGAAGAAAGATGTTTCAAACACAGCAGAACTGCACCAATTGCAAAATTCACCAGTAGGCAGTTCGTCATGTTTTATTATTTCTTATTTGATATAATGTTTGTTTGCACCATGAGCGTCATTTATGGCGGATAATGGCGCGGTATAAATTTCCGTTATTACTACTATTACTGTAATAGGGCGACAGGTTTTGCGAACTCCGTCCACAATAGTGCGATACACCTTATTGAGGCGACAAAATAACTGTCGCCCTTTTATGAAAACGACCCTTAGGACAAGGAATTTTGCTGTCGAAAACCATCTAGATCGATTCCTTATGGTCCAATTAGTATAAATACTAAATTTCGTGGAAAAAAACATAAGGTAAACTTGGGTTAGGTGACAGTTTAGGTTTGTGCACAAGTCTATGGGAAAGTCACCCTATTGGGGCGAAAAGAGTAATTATTATTATTATTATTATTATTATTATCATGATGTGTATGACGAAAGACACAAAGAGGCAATACGACACCGACAATTGTGACAATTGTCGGTGTCTGCTACCATGATCTGACAGCCAACTTTCAGGTAGTTTTCTCGCCATTGCTAACGATTGTCTGAGTTGAATTCATGGTTGACATTTGCAAACTGTTTTAGTTAAGCAAAATATTATGCGCATCAATAGGGCAGGGCGGTTAAGGGATTCGTTGTAACAAATAATGCGCACAGCCTCAGTGATGGAAAGTAATAAAAAATACAACTGTTTATTACCAGATATTGTTGGGGGAAACCGATTGAAATCAGTTGTGAATTACAAGCTACAAGAAGTATACCTAACAATAACGTAGTCTATGTTTGTCAGTATTTCATAAGAGAAAGTTTTTCTCCAGTGGCTGCAAGTAAAACAATCCTTTAAGAAATAAAGAAGAGCATCCATCGAACATTGTAAATTAAGTGCTTTTGTAGCAAGCTCGTTCCCTGATGTTATAAATAGCATTATGTGTTCGCTAAACATCATATACGCTCCTTGGCAGATCCTGCTCTGAATTTGTGTATTTTGTTACGGATCAGATGATATATGCGGTTGCTAGAAACCTATGATTAAGGATTGATGAGTGTGACAAAGATGTCAATAAAGTACATGTCTGGTTGTCACTTAGAAAGCTGCCGCAGCGCCTTCTTTGATAAATTGAGTAAAGGAATATTAGTCTATTTCATCATTACTCCCAATATATAATTAAAGCATGTCGGTTAATTTAGGGAAAGAAAGTCAGCCTGCCGGAGAAAAAAGTCATTAGAGGCCGTTTTGCGCAGCCTAAATATCACCGTGTGCGGGCAATTTTGCTGGGTTTCTACCTCTTGAGGAGATGAGGCAATTGTTTTTTTTTTCGGATTTCGTTCGCCTCGCCACCCGAAAACTCACCGTGTGCGGGCAGCGAATTGTTTTTCCCAAAACGAAATCCCCATGGGATGTACGCTATGACGTTTTGGACTTTACTTCTCTTAAAAACATGAGGAAAAAACAACAACAATAAAATTCGAACGTAATAAAATTCGGAATTTGTTTCCCTATTTTTTTTAATACCTCCGATCAGAAAAGAAAAACAAAAAACGGTACTCCAGAAATGAATTCTAAAGAAAAGTGATAAAAAGACAACAATGCAAGTACCCCAGAACTCCAATCTGCTGTAACGACCGTACTCATGATGATGCACTCGTACTCGTACTCGCGAGAAGAAAAGACATGTACTCGTTCTCATACTCTTTACAAGTGCTGGTGCTCGTACTCGCTCTCATAGTTATTACAAAAGATATTTTATATTTCGTAGAGGTGCATGCAGGAAACCAATTTCCTACAGTTTGGGAGACTGTTACATTTAACCTAATAATAGGCCTACTTGTCAGCAAAAATCTCCAAAGAACACAAAAACCATTTAAATGCACTCGTATACTCTTGGACAATAGACAAACTCGTACTTAAACTCTTGGAAACGTACTCGTCCTCGTACTCGTAGGTCTACAAACAAAATTGTATCGGCACTCTTCCTGAGATATTGAATCGTAATAAGATTCATTCATTTAATTTTTGCAGTGCTGAAATTATATAAGCGTATCAGCATGAGCAAGTCATGGTCTGAACGAGGAATGCCGGTTTACCTTGAAGAAGCGCTTGAGAGTGTCACTGGTACTCTGGAGCGCGTACGCAACATTCTCCCCCTGAAGAGGATGTCGTTTTGCTCACAAACACAATAAAATTTGAAAACCAGTTACACAAGTCCTCTGTCTACATATAGTGAATTACATGGTCTACAATAATAAAGAAATTTCAAGATTTCAATTCAGAAAAGATATAAGAAAAAAGTATGATAGCTAAAAAAATATACAAAATAAATGATGCTGTCAGGTATTAAAGACAACAGTCTTCTATGCGGATGTGATTAACGTCTTTACTTTCACAACCACCAAAAAAAGGAAACAACCAGAAAAAAAAGAAAGCAAAAACAAAAAACGACCAACGAAAAAACAAATTATACGGACCCCAAGCATAGCCACACTGAAGGAAGTCAAAGTGTCTGTGCGCACTATATTAGATTTTCGTCTAAAAGGTAATTAACAACGGTCAATGGCAATGATGAGTTAGAAAACTTGATAAAGAGTCCTAGTCAAAGAAACCAACGGTTTAGTGGACTGTAATAACAAGGAAGTTATATTGTAGCTCAATTATTGACAGTCAGAGGCTTAGATAATAAGCGTCTCCGGAACACTAATTGTCGCCTGACATCTTTCATTGAAAGCTTAGGGGTACGTTTAAAGTTAAATCAGCCACAGAATATTTCCACGGCAAATAAAAGAGGCTGACAACGGGTAGAGTGCCACACGAAGCATCAGTTGAGCACGGTGAGCTAACAGGGACACATTCGCATTGTATCATTGTAGCGAATGTTGACGACTGTAGTTTTTCTTCGTTCAAGAAAATATAGTATAAGGTGTTTCATGATAAGTTGATTGACCATAATATCAGTTATATGGTTACCTGCGCAGAAATGCTGTGACGGTAAACTCTGCATATACACTCTGCAGCGAATTAAGGCCACTTGTTTCCGATTCACAGACTTTTGACAAAATGGACATTTTTATGCAAAATTCACAGACTTTTGAAAAAATGGACGTTTTCATGCAAAATTCACATGTTTAGTACATGTGTAAGTCATCATCATTGCATCAAAAACTGCGGTTTGCACGCTAACTGGACCGGATCTCGAGACCCAATCGAGGTGAAACGACTAACATTTGAGGGAGAAGCAGTCACTGCTTTGAGCTACTCTGAAACCATGAATGGAACTGATGAACACAATGACGAACCAACTGAAGACAAGTGGACTTGTCAGATCATGGCAGCAGAAGGAGTTGGTGGTGTCGTAGGGAACCTCTTAGTGTGCTACGTCATCCTACGCGTCAAATTCTTACACAACATGACGAACTACCTGCTGGTGAATTTGGCTGTTGCTGATATGCTGCTGTGTCTGCAAGTATTCTTAAATGCTCTAACATCAGACTGTAACCTGATTGCCTTTGCTCCACTAAGCAACGGCGTGAGAGACTTGTTCTGCCGACTTTTGGAGTCAAGGTTTTTAGCATGGGCAATGTCCTGTGCCACTGCCTACAATCTCTGTGTGGTTACATTAGAGAGGTACATTGCCATAGTACACCCTCTACACTATGCGCGGAAACTTACAACAGCACGGATGGTTACTTTAATTGCCCTAGTGTGGGTGATATCATTTCTGATACCCTTACCTTTTCTATTCACAATCGAACCAAGCAATGACCCAAATAAGATGTGCTCATTCAAATATCCTCACCTTTTACCCCCAGTTCTACTCGGTATCATTGGATTTCTCTTTATATATTTGTTGCCCTTAACACTGATGAGTGTGGCCTATTATAAGATGCAGGTCACCCTCAAAAGACAAGCCAAAGCCCTGCACCAGCAACATGCACGGGCAGCAGCCTATGATCTTGTGATTGCTAGACAGAACCTGGTCAGCATGCTTAAAACTGTCTTGGGAGCTCTCATTGTCTTATGGACACTGGATTATTTAGCTATTCTTCTCTGCTTGCATCGAACAGACAAGGCTCAGTTCTCATTTTGTGGATCAAAAGTATTCAGCTATATCAGAAATTTCTCCAATTTACTGTACAATTTAAATTCAGTCATCAATCCAATCATCTATGAGTTTAAATACAAGAAATTCAGGCAAGGTTTTAAGGTAGCATTCTGCAACTGCTTTAAAAATCATGGTGGTAACAGTGTTGACGTTGAGATGGTACCATTATGACTTTTGAGAAATACATTATCTGGCTGTATCCATTTCATAGAGAGGATTGGCAGTAAACAAAGCGAAAAAGTGTGTTGACGTACAATCTGTTTTCACTAGTGGCGTGCTTAATGGTAGAAAAGTAATTTGACTGATGATAACGTTGACTTATCTATCTTCTTTTTTCCACTTAATTTGTAAAAGAAAAACATATGACAACTCTGTAGGTGCCAGCTAGACATGTATATTTTGGCATGTATTGCCACACTCACCAAAATGTGTGGTCATGACCTCACGTTTTGGTAAAATTTAGCAGAAATTCTAACCCAAACAATTGGGTAACAGCATTACCCAATTTTGGGTAGTTAAAATTTACCCAGGGTTCATGGGTAAAATTAACCCAGGCAATGTTTCAGTGTACTTCTCCAAGCATTTAATTCTGAGTTGTTTTTTTCATCAATAATCTATATCCGAGTCCAACAGTTTTTCGTTTACAATCAGTGGTTAATATAAAGAAACTTTGTAAAAGTCACTGAGGAAAATCAACCATGAATTCAACTCAGTATCTTGTCGACAACTGGGAGACAACTACCGGCAAGTGAGTCTGTCTGATCATGGCAGCAGAAGAAATGTCTTTGTCTAAGGAAACCTCTTAGTTTAAATGTTAGACTATTATAGTTTATGCGGTACCCGCTGCTATGTACATGAAATTCGAACCAGCCAACCGATCTCGGTGGTCGAGTGGTAAGACATCTGCACTAGAAAGCAGGAGGTCGTGGGTTCGAATCCCACCCGATTGATTTTTTCCAACTTTTACTCGGGAGGCAACGTATACAGTGTTTAAACGTCGGTGAAGGACAAAACCTAATTTGATTTATGTCACTCCGACGCAAACATTTCATCTTGTATTAAAGGATAATGTTGATACATGTTTTGTAATGAAGCGTGAACGAACTATGTTATCGAATTACATTACTGTATGCACGTCAGCCGCAGCAGTGGAACGCATACGGTATACGTATGCGGCTTCCAAACTACATTGTTTGAATTACCACTGTGCGTGTTTTTTTTGTGTGTGTCACACTATGAGCATAGTTTTCGCATCAGAATGTTTAGATGTGTACGTCTTAGTTTACTGAAATAATCACATAAAATGTTGGCATAACAGCTTGTTGTTGTTTTTTCGAGCAGCATATGTATCCCTTTCCTGCACCATTTGTAATGTTCCTAAATAATGGTTCTTTCTGAAGGACAGCCATTCAGCGTATGCAATTGTCGGGTTTTTATCAATATTGATTTCGTGCGTTGAATCATATGTGCTCTATTTTTCAATAATGGTAGTCGAACTGAAAATGGAAGAAAATTTGCATAATTGTTAATTGTTAAAACAAAATGTGTATTGTAAATTATAGGATTGAAAAATATGTTTTGTTTTATTTTGTTTGTTGCCCTGGCTTGACTTCTATTGGATGGTAGGGGGGTAAGGTTGGCTTTGATTCAAAGAGGGCAAGCTGGAAAGGTTTTGGTTAGATTTGGCTTTTATTGATTATTTTTAGTTGAGTTGGGTTTGGTTGGGTTGGTTTTGGGGCTAAGGTTTGGGTTTGGGTGGGTTTGGGTTGGGTTGGGTTGGGTTGGGTTGGGTTTTGGTTGGAGTTGGGTTAGGCTGGGTTTGGGTTGGGTTGGGTTGGGTTGGGCTGGGCTGGTTTGGGCTGGGTTGGGTTGGGTTGGGTTGGGTTTGGGTTTTGGTTGGGTTGGGTTGGGTTGGGTTGCGTTGGGCTGGGTTGGGTTGGGTTGGGGTTGGGGTTGGGGTTGGGTTGGGTTGGGTTGGGTTGGGTTGGGTTGGGTTATCCGTGCTGGGCTGGACTGGGTTGGGTTGGGCTGGACTGGGCTGGGCTTGATTGGATTGGGTTGGGCTGGGTTAGTTTGTGTTCGCTGGGTTGGGTAAGAGTAAAACACCAAAAGGGGGACAATGGGGGTCCCCAATTGCAGGAAAATACACACTTACGTGGGTTTGGTTGGGTTGAGTTTGTTTCAGCACTGGGGATGTTGAACAATTGTGGTGGGTTGGGTTGGGTTGGGTTGGGGTTGGGGTGTGGTGGGGTGGGGTGGGGTGTGGTGGGGTGGGGTGGATTGGGGTGGGTTTTGTTTGGTTTGGGTTGGGTTATGTTGGGTTGGGTTGGGTTGGGCTGGGTCGGGTTCCGTATGGCTGGGTAGGGTTTATCGGGTTGGGTCGGATTTTGTTGGGTTAGGTTGGGTTGGTTGGGGTGGTCGGTGTTGGATTCTGTTGGTGTAACTTTTCGATTTTAAAGTATTGTGAATGTTTAATTGACTTACAGTGTATAACTTTTTCTTGTATGTTTGACGTGTAGCGAAGCAGACCTGAATTTATATCTTGTGTAACTTAATGTGGCTGTATTAAGGGAATTAGACACCCATCCTGAATGTTTAGATGTATTAAAAGTCCACGGAGTTGGAATTGGATTATTTTGTAATGGCTTGACTTCAGTTCAACACTTAGGAATTATAATGTGTTAAGCCCGCCACACTCAAGAGCTACGTGTTAGGCAAAAAGTCATTCGACGCCGTTTGCTTAGCACGTAGCTTACAAAACAATATCACCGCAAGCGGGCATTTTTTGCTGATCGTTCTGCCTGGCGCAGCTGTGAGGCAAATATCCATCCTGTTTGATTTTTTTTTTCTCCTCGCAACGCGAAAAATCATCGTATGCGGTCAACCTGAGCTATTGTGCTGAGCTAATAAATAAGTATCTAATACAAGCACATACTCTGTTGACGCGTTTTCATGATACTGTTTTGCAATTTCTTGTAAAGCCATCTGGCGTTTGTTCCCTCTTTAGAACGTGCAACCGACAAACAAGGATAATCTAGCCAAAACTCAACCAGCTTATCCTGTAAGCCATCAATAGTATAAGTGTTTAGCAATGATGGAATTTTACTGACCATAGTATGCCATTCAGTGGATTAACTTAACTTGTTCTGAGGTTTTGGAATACTTTAACACCATCGGTCTTTGGTATAAAATCCCAAGTAAACCGTCAAACGGCTGATAAAACACCATTTGGATTTGAACACTTATTCAGGCATTTCGCGGTACTATGCGTCCCCGCCAATGTCCATATAAGGAGATTGTTTGCACTGCGCACACGAGGCACATACCATTGCCATGGCAAGAGCGGTGTCTCACAACACAGGTAAAAACGTTCGACAAAATGGATTGAAGTTTGCGGTTTTTTGACATTTTGGCCCAAAGGTATTTATAAATGAGAATAAATGTGCTTGACCATTGTTAAACAAATATGTTTAAAATCCACTCAGGTTTTTATCTGCGACCAGGCCCCTTGCCAGTTTTAAACGTACTTGATTGAAACCGGCCCTTATTCATAAATGCTTGATACAGTTTAGTCATTCTTATTGGTCGAGAGCCCGTCGCGTGGGTGATTTGAAAGGGTTGATAAACCACCTAATGTTTCAAACACGTTTTACCGGTGCCACATGATTTTGGATTCTCACGAAATCTGGTCCCTTTACCAGTTCCATTTTTTATTTATTCTATATTGGTTTAACTGTTTTAGTCTTCACTTTTTGCGTATTTCATTGTCCAAAAGTTCAAACTATTCGCTCCGTTCACAAGTACCCCCACACCGGCAAAGAAAGTGCAGTTGGGGTGACAGAACGACGACATCTTACCTGACTGCGATATTTTGCCGCGAAGTGCAGCCACAGCGTGTACATAGTACAAGTCCCCTGATGTACATGCGTCACACACAAGGAACCAACGCGCGCTAACCAGCGAAATGTATCCGTCACGCCCATGGGACGTCGCTTTACTGTCTCAACAAACATTCGAGATATTCGCATTTAAAGTTGGTCTTAACAACTTGAAACTTAAAGATGCATAAAATATGCAAGACTTAGGTTTCAAAGGAAAGAAGTGATTCTAATCTTCCTAAATGTAGAAAACTTTAAGAGATTTAGGTGATTAGTTCTACAGAATTAATCAATTAAAAGAAAATTGGCTGTTCGTGAAAACGAAAAAAAACGACCAATTAGCAAATTCACCTTTTCTTGAAAACGCTAAATTTATTTTTAAAATGAGTACGCGCAGATCTTGCCCTACTGTGGTTTGAGTCAATGCATACTTTGAACAGTACGCGCAAATTTTGCCCCACTGCGCATGCGCCATCAAATACGCTCCTTTGTGAAACTTTTCTTTGCACGCTCCTGAAATTCACCCCATTTTGATAACGCTTCATTGTATTACAATGTATGTATTTACTGAAAGTTTATTAATACCATAGAGTGCGGAAATTCGCCACTTCTTGAAAGCGCAAAACGGTACTCGTGGCATTCGCCCATTCGTTAAGTTAATAGGGATTCGTTGTAGCTATGATATATTTATTAATTTTCACATTTTGTTTCTCCAAAAACAGACGATTTTTAAAACGGTGACGATTTATTCCCTTGTTTAAATTGACAAAAAGGATTCTTTGTTATTATTCAGCATTGTTACTTGTGACTAGACTTGCAACAGGACTTGTGATTTACTTTTTGACTGGACGTGTGATGGACTCCACTACGACACTGATTGCGAGCTGAATCCCCCACTCAAACACCTGAAAAAAAGGGGTATAAACCAAAGTCGCGACAAATCAAGCTGAATCCCCCACTCAAACACCCGAAAAAGGGGTATAAACCAAAGTCGCGACATTTACCATGAAACCATTAGTAGAGCAGGCTAAAGCCCGGCGCACACCATTCCGATTTTCATCGGGCTATCGTACACAGGTGTACGCTAAAAATTCGGACCGATCTGACCGTACATTTTATTAAAAACTGATAGCTGCATTTTTGTCATCATGTGACTATTTATCATGTGACTGATAAACATGTGACTGGCAATAGATTGGAATTGGTCATGTGTCAGAAATAAACAATGCTGTTTTTTTGTTGAACTACAACTCATTAATATTTAGGAGCCTTTCAGCACAATTCAAGTTCTTCGTAACAGTACATGAAATAGTCAGGTACCAACACTCTCTAGTGTGTCTTTACTGCAGTAGTAACAAGGATTACAACAACAGACTGGTTCTGTGCAGATTACATACCATAAACTATATGTGTACGAGGCGGGTTCCAGAGGGAATTTCTGGTGCTACCAGAAAAACTACCGCACGGCAGCGAGCTGGATACTTAACGGGATGACGTCACCTGGGAGCGTATCATTTTTACTTCCCGGACGCGCTGGGGACTCTGCCAATGACGCGCTCCAATTTAATCATGAATATTTATAGATGTAGTTATTGTACATACAAATGGAGTACAGCATAAGGTAAGCATTTATACGCTTTGTGGAGACAACCAACACGCATTTATAATGTCCAAATTTATGTAATACCCATCCAAACCCATGCTTTAAAGATTGCTTGATGGTTGAATCCGCTCACTCACAAACACACACAAAAGCCTACAACAAAATAATGTCCAAAAGGTAATTAAAGTTTTATTTAAACGTTGTTATGACGATTTTTTTATAATGCGTTAGAAAACTTGATTAATGGTTATAAGCGGAAGTAATGAATGGTTATTGTTTACCGTATTAATAAAGAAGGTTGTCTATTGTAGCTCAATGAGTGACAATCGGAGATGCAGATATTAACTCCGCAGTATTAATCGTCTCCTGACACCTTTCCTTAAAACAGCCTTAATGAACCACAGACTGAATCTTTCCACATCAAATATAACAGGCTGATTACGGGTAGGGTGCCACACGAAGCATCAGTTGAGCACGGTGAGCTACGAGGGACAGATTCGCAGTGCAGCATCGGAGCGATTGTTGACGACTATAGTTTGACCTTCCTACAAGAAATTAGTATATCGTGTTTCCTGATGAGTGCATTGACAACTACCAGTAAAACGTTCCTTGATCTTGATCTTGATCTTGATTGATATAGCTGATGAGCTCCTATAGGAACATCACTCAGCTTCCTGCTAACAGCCGTCTAGAAACGCTCTGACGATAAGCTGATCTCATATACTTTGACGCGGATCCTGGACACTTGTTTCCGATTCACAGCAATTTAGGTAAATGACAATTTGATACAAAAAAGTACATGTTTAGTACATGCGTAAGTCGTCATCAGTGTGTCGACATTAGTGGTTGTAGTACAAATTAAACTAGACGGATTCCGGACTCACATTTGAGAGAGAAACAGTTACAGGTTGTTGTAACGCTCCATACAGTGAGCAACAATATCTCTCTCCCGTTTCAAATTCCTACAAGCTAGAAGTGCTTCTCAAAAGACAGAAGGACTACTAGAGCATCCCAACAAAACCACCAACCGTCAATTTGTACTCATCAGAATCAACACAAACATTAACCATGAATGCAACTGATGAACACAATGAGGAACCAACTGGAGAAAAGTTGGTGTGTCAGATCATGGCAGCAGAAGGAGTAATTGGTGTCTTAGGGAACATATTAGTGTGCTACGTCATCTTGCGTGTCAAATTCTTACACAACATAACGAACTACCTGCTGGTGAATTTAGCTGTTGCTGATATGCTGCTGTGTTTTCAAGTATTCCTATATTATTCAATATCAGACTGTAAGCTTATTGCTTTTGCTCCAGTAAGCAAAGGCGTGAGAGACTTGTTCTGCCGACTTCTAGCATCAAAGTTCTTGGCGTTTGCATTGACCTATGCCTCTGCCTACAATCTCTGTGTGGTTACATTAGAGAGGTACATTGCCATAGTACACCCTCTACACTACGCGAGGAAACTCACAACAGCACGGATGGTTACTTTAATTATTATGGTTTGGGTGACATCATTTGTTGTGCATATAACTTTGCTTTTTACAGTCGAGCCCATCGATGCTCCCAACAAGATTTGCTCATTCAAATATCCTCACCAGGTATTTCCAATTCTAGTCAGCATATATTCATTTTTCTTGGGATATTTGCTGCCCCTATCATTTATGAGTTTGGCTTACTATAAGATGCAGGTCACTCTCAAAAGACAAGCAAAAGCCCTGAACCTGCAACATGCAAGGGCAGCAGCCTATGATCTTGTGATTGCTAGACAGAACCTGATCAGCATGCTTAAAACTGTCTTGGGAGCTCTCATTGTTTTATGGACACTGGATTATGTAGTTACCCTTCCCTGCTTACATCGAACAGACGAGGCTCAGTTCTCGTTCTGTGGATCCAAGCCTTACCACTATGCCAGAGTTTTTGCTAATTTACTATTTAATTTCAATTCAGTCATTAATCCTATCATCTATGAGTTTAAATACAAGAAGTTCAAGCAAGGTTTTAAGCTAGCATTTTGCAGATGCTTTAAAAGGCATAACGGTAACAGAGTCGGCGTTGACATAGCACCATTATGACTTTGATGAAATACATAATCTAGTATAATATATTATGTCGTATATTTTACCAGTGCATTTTATTTTTGCTGAAGGAGAATTTTTTGTCGTTTCGGATAAAGTATACTTTCCTAAAATGGACTTCATACTCCATTCAGGAAAAATGTTATTATAAATGAAATCCAAGATGGCAGCTATTTTGTAAAATCTAAGATGGCTGCCATCCATCGGGGATACCTCAGCAGCAATGTGATATTTAGATTACTTGGTATCGAATGTATGGGGTTTACCACCGAAATGGACTTCTTACGACATTCGATACCAAATTTATTAAATAACTCGTAAATGACCACCATTTTGGGATATTCAAGATGGCTGACATCCAGCTGGCGTACACCATAAACAATAATGTACTCGGGTTCATTGGTATCAAAAACTCTGAGTTAGCCACCAAAATGAACTTCATATGACAATCAGGTCCGAAGTTATGATTATCATACAAAATAGGTCCAAAATGGCGGTCATTTCTGAAATTCAAGATGACTGCCACACGGTAGATGGAAAAAAAATGTGATATGGATTTCTGGTATAGAAGGTATACTCTATCCAAATGTGACAAAAATTCCTTCTTTACTAAAAAAAAAGTAAAAGTACATAACAGCCTATACTGAAGTGGCTCTATCCCTTTTACAGGCGCTTGGCAGGAAACAAAGTGAAAATGTGTGTTGACCGTAGACGGGGAATAATCCCCATGCATACGTACATAATATAGCGTTGACTCGCCAAGTCTATGTAGATGCTTTAATTGAATAACAAGCGCGGAAAAATATTGCGAGTAATGATAAAGGGACAAATTTCTCTTTATTTAATATGTCAAAAAGACAACGCTAGCAACGCTATAAATGCCAGCCAGACGTGTAAGTTATGGCGTTCTTCTCAACATTAGTCAACTCCTAATTTATTGAAGTTTTCGATCGACTGCCAAAAATCATCCACTTCTTACTAAAAAAAAGGCGCCGACTCAGTACAGAATATTGTGATCTACAATGACCATACAGTTAATATGCTCGCTGCATGATTGATTGGCCTTTAACCGTAAAAGGGCCAGGTTATTTTGATTATCTCTCAGCCGGGGGGGGGGGGATTCTACCGCCCCCCCCCCCGGCCAACGAGTGACGAAAAATGTTGAACTCTGTACATGCATAGATCAACTAACCATAAACATACTCAAGAAATGTTATGAAAATTGGTCAACAGGTTTTGGAATTATGGCCAATTTATTATTCATATGTCCGAATGTATTGTGCTCTGTGTACACGACGTTTAATTATGGGAAAGTTCAGTTTTCACGGCGCGTGGCGCCGGAAAATGCTCGCTGCGCGGCAACCCGTCGTCCGATTTTTATGTTTTTGGTATCAAAAGTCATGCGTAAGGCTCGAGGCTAAAAAGTCATACAACTCAGGTCACGAGAAAAAAAATCAAGGCTATTGCGGAAAAACGTTGAGGTGGGGGGGGGGCGGATTCCGCCCCGGCCCTTTTAGGGTTAAAACAAAAGTACAATTGAGGTTTTTGCTCAACCACTTTGCAATGAACTAAAGATATCGTCCGAATTGCTTACTAATTATCGGACATGATTTAAGCAGTTTATGCTGTTTTGTAAATTAAAAAAAAATCTGCTGAAATCATATCCGATAATTACATCAATTACTATTGTTGTGACATACGTACAAATGGTGAAGTTGTTTTTAGCACCATGCGCTTATTCCTGTATATGTTGTTTTGTGTGTGTGTTTGTTTGTTTGTTTGTTTTTTTTTTTTTATTATAAATAAAGTTAGTATTCGTAATAGTTTGATATTGGGCACATTACATTGTCAACAAACCATTGTTACCGTGCTTGGGTATGACTAAATCTCGAGACTTCTCGGAACTGTTATCCAGAAATTAGATGGTATTTTACTTTGGCATGGTATTTTACTTTGGCATTCAAACGAAACGATTTGTTTCGTTTGAAGCAACACAAGTCCTCAAAAGAAGGGCGCTTATCAAATAACCTGTTGAAATTTCAGCTCAGTGAATGTTGTATATTCTAGCTCTATTTCACTTCAAAAGTTGCCAAATCATGATTTGAATTGTGCCCGAAATCTGCGTCCGGGACACGTTCTCATATAGTTGATGGCAGCTACGCGATGTCACGCACTGAGCCGACGGATCAACCGCGCGCGTGTGTGCGCTGTGTCAACGCTTGCGCGTACCCATTCACGGCTTCGCCGAATAAAATAAACCGGACTGCTTAGGCCAAAACAAAAAATCACCGGTTTCTGGTCTGGGCGTGCGGCGCCGTAGCCACGTTTGTCGGCGAAATTAAAATATTGTTTGTTTTTGTTCAATGTCAGATGATGTCTCAAAACCGCCAAACTCATTGCTTTAATTGTAATCCTGCTGCTGCACATTTTTAACGTATTTTTAGATGGGGTTACAATCGAGTATAAGCTGTATGTGGCCTCTCTGGGCTCCCATATATTTTGCTCTAAATTTAGTCGGACACTATTTGCAGGCGGTGTTGTAATTGTTTAATTGTGCGTCTGGAAGCCAGACTGGGGGGGGGGGGTGATAGTCGTGTATCTGGAACCTTTCAACGCTTTTAATTAGCGAAATATGTAAGGGAGCAGACTAATGACCACCTGGCAGCTCATGCACGATGTCGATGTCCATGTATGGTCTTACTCTACCGTTTTCTCTGATTTGTGTCTTGACTGTCAAAATGTCCACAAGAATATTCGCGTCGGTCGAGATCGTATGTGGCTGCAGATTTCTCTAGCCTTATGGCCTTACTGAGGTTGCCTCAAGCTCCACTCTGAAGGATATTTTTGAGAGTTTTAGGGGGATCGAAGCGTTATCTGCAACGTCAGCCGACATTTGAAGAAAATAAAGTTGAGAAAAAAAAAACTGCGTCGCCGCACCATATTTGGGGCAAGCTCCATACCAGAAACTGGAGACTATTTTTTTCTGGCCTAAAGGAAACTTCAAAAAAAAATGCGTGGTTAGACACGTTTTTTGAAAATGACCTTTTTTTAATTGTTTTCTTGAACTTGCCAAACAGAACATTTTCATAGGAAGTTTTAATAGTGCCATTAGTGTATTTTAACCAGGCATGCTTTTGAACAACAATTTTGTCGGTTACTTTTAAATAGCTGCAATTTCAATACTGGTATAGTTAAACTTAGAAGAATATTTGCATGTTTGTTAATGCTTTAAACAACCTGTGTATTGTAAATTGTATATCATAAGAGTAAACATCAGAGCAACCTTTCACACATTTCAATTTGATGCAGTCAAGAGTATAATTAGTCACTGAATGATAATGTTTGGTTTTGGTTTGTTGGATGGCTTTGGGATTGAATAAGGCAGCTTGGATTCACAGAGGGCTGGTCTGGGTTTAGAAAAAGTGGGGAACGTTTTGGTTATATTTTGCATTATTTGGTTGGTCTTCGTGGTCTGGTTGGGCTAAGTTGGGTAAAGTTGTTTTGGGTTTGGGTTGATTTTGGGTTGGGTTTTGTTTGGTTGTTTGGGTTGGGTTGGGTTGGGTTGGGTTGGATTGGGTTGGGTTGGGTTGGATTGGGTTGGGTTGAAGTTGGGTCGGGTTGGGTCGGGTTGGGTCGGGTTGGGTTGGGTTGGGTTGGGGTTTGGGTTGGGATGAATCGGGTTAGGTTGGTTTGGGTTGGGTTAAGTTGGGTTTGGGTTGGGTTTGGTTGGGTTTAGTTTGTTTCTGCATTCAATAGGGACGTTGAACAAAAGAGGACAATAGAGTTTCCGAATCCGAAGGTCCCAAATTTGGCGATGTGTACAAAACATATGGCAGGTCTTCCTAAAACGTTAGTGTAAAAACAAAAGAGGGACAATAGAGGGTCCCCAATTGTCCACTCTGGTATGAGTTCCCTATTGACCACAATGGTATGGGTGTTGTCGCATTTTGATTTTAAAGTATCGTGAATATCTAATGAAATTATATTCATAAATACCTCAGACAGTTTAGCCATTCCTATTGGTCGAGAGCCCGTCACGTGGCCGGTATTAAACGGATGATAAAGACATGGCTAGCTGGTCTTAAACACTTTTCCAGTGTCACAATAAAATGTGGACTCCTAAAAATCCAGTGCCTCTTATCGTTTCATTGGTTGAACGTTCACTATCCTCACGTAGGCATGCGCAACACTACGAGGGAGTTAGAATTTTATAGTTCTAAATTCAAAACGCAACGCGCCAGGTGCGTTCTGCGCGACATCGCATAGAACATGATACGCGCGCGTCAATCTCCATAAAAGGGTTGTTTTCATCTTACTCGCCAGCTGAACACTCCATTATTTTGCAGGAGGGATGATTCAAAAAGCATAAAGTGAATTTGTTGAACAAAATCGGGATGTTTTGAACGAATTATATGACTTTTTTTACCGAAAAGGTATTTATGGATGGGAATAAATATGTACTCCGTCGGTATTTATCACTCTGTTTAATACCACTTAGAGTCTGATAATTTCACAGCGCTGCTGATAATTACCCTCGCCTCCGGCTCGGGTAATTATCAGCACCCAGACTCTAAGTGGTATTAAACAGAGTGATAAAAACCTCCCGAGCACACATTTATTCCCTTAATAATAGGTTTTCTATTAACAGCGTTTAACTCAGATCAAAGCGCTTTACTTTATTATATTGTGTGTATGACGGGTACTTGAATTATATATTGTGTATCTTGCTGTTGCTGTATTAATGGCAAAGACCCAACCTGAGTGTTTAGATGTATTAGACATCCACAAAATTAGAATAGGGTTAATATTATCATAACTTGACTTCAGGTTCAGCACCTAGACATTACAATGTATTAGCCGTCAATCCAAAAATAACAGTCTGTGGATTAACTTAACATGTTCTGAGATTTTGAAATACTTGAACGGTCTCAGTCTTGGGTATACAATCCAAAGTAGGTCGTTGGCTAGGTGCCTGGGGGCGAGATCAGGACAGACAC